CCCCGGGCTGGTCTCTGCTTCGTCGACGGTGAAAGCCGATCCGGCGATCGACAGCGCAAAGTTGAAGTATTTCTTCAGCGACCAGCACGGATCAGCTCCAGGCATGACATTTGAACATTTGGGTGGCGTTATGCAAATCTTCCCACATCGTGACGTAGACATGTGGGGGCGTGTTAGAACGAGCCGTTTTAGGTAGGCGTGGTTGACTTAACTTTTATAAAGAATATCTCTTTGGATTTGAGACTTTAGTCTTTGCAACTTTACAGATCTTCTTTATGCACCAAGAGCTTGTAACACTCCAAAGAGAAAGGAAAAATTTAAATCGCATCATATGACCCCTTTAACTAATGTTACAGAACAACTTCAGCACTTAAGTCTAAAACAACAATTTCACTTTTGTAAAAAAAAAAAAAAAATGTGACAAAGACATTGTTCATTTAAAAAAATTAACTAATGCTGTTTGTCACACCATATGCTTCATAGCAGGTAACTTACAAGGAGTTAAGAGTCACTAAAAGATCAGATTTATTGGCGAGTATATTCGGGGTGCTTCAACCTGTGTCTTTTGTCTTATATAATTTTAAATATAAAAAAAGAAAAGTCTGTGAAAACATTTTGAGTTTTAAGTTTTCTGTAAGACAACTTTACCAACTCAGTTTATTTACATTTTAAAATGAGAAATGTTGCCTTAGTTTTTATTAATATTTTTAATTAGTTTTTATTTTTATATTTTCCATTTCATTTTAATTTTAAGGTTTTAGTAATTTTGCTATGTTTTTTTAAATCAGTTTTTATTATTATTATTATTATTTAAATATGTTTATATATTTATTAAGTTTTGGTTCAGTTTTCGTTATTTTAGTACATCAAGTTAAACTAAATGAAACCAGAAGTGTTGCCTTGGCAACTAGTTGAAATCAAATAATTAAAAAAAAAAGCTTATTTCAGTTAACATTTATTTTATTTCAAGTAACATTTTTATGGTTTTAGTTTTAGTATATAATAAACCTGCTATTGCCCATATCTCTTTCATTCGTATGTCTCTCAGCTGTGAAGCACATTGTTCTTCACATGTATTTGCTGTCACACAGAGATCGTTTGGAGTTCCTGTGCCTGTCGTTCAAACCCCTCCAGTGACTTTGACCTTTGGAATGTGTCAGAGAGCGGAGGGGGAATGTTGTGCACAGAAATCATATGAGAGTATCCAAGTGTCCGAATGCGTGTGAAGATTGAGTGAATGACTGAACAAGACCAGAGAACGGGTGCATGGGAGAAAGACAAAGGAATGGTTTCTTCCTCAGTCAGCATTTTGTGCCTAATGGTGTAGGTGGTGAGGTGTAAATCATGGATACGGTGTAATAGATACACAGATTATTATAGGGTACAAATCAGCCCTACAAGAGGTTTATTGACATTGATCAGGCCAGACTTTACTTTTTTTTTTTTTTTTTAAACAAACAAAAGAGAGATAAATCACTTTGCAAGACCTGATGCTGAGATTAACAGCTAATGTTGTCTCGGATTAAAAATGGCATTTTTTATTAGATATCTGCAATGCTTTTATGGGAGGTTTAATGTAGTTTTAGTTTCGTGAAGATGATGTGCTTCAGACTAATGGTGTTTCGGTATTATTTATCATTTAGCCACGTGATAGCATTATGTGTCTCTGCTGATGCAATCCGATCTCTAAGGCCTTATTTTGTAATACATAGACCTGTCATGTATATTCAGTCTCATACATTTTTTGATGACTGACTGATTTTCTCTTTCTTGCCAGGGTTCCTGATGCCCAGTTTGAACTGACCTGTAGTCTTCTGACACCAAAAGAAAGCGAGGATATTTAGTATTCACAAGACTAAAGACCTTTGGCTTTTGAGCAAAAGGTAAGCTAATAGTTGTAAATATTTTTTTCTCTTATTTTTATTCATATTCTATGTATTTTTTAATCATATATGCCCTCTTTTTTTTAATTTAACGGTAATTTTAAATATAAGTTCTATTTTGAAGGAATTAAAAGCTTGGGATCTACAGTACCAGTAAGAATTATAAAACACATAGATCATATATCAATGTATATAATCCTAGATCTGTTTATTTGAGTTCAGACCTGTATTTTGAGTTGCTGAATTTCTCTTGACCTTTTCTCTCTCATTACATCAAACTTATTAACATATCTGCCTTGAGCTGAAGAAAAACAAACGACTTGCCTCAGTGCCTCATTCTTTGCCCTTCGCTTTCATTATATTATGGAATAATCAGTCACTAATGCTTAAGGTTTTTCTTTTTGTCAATCGTTATTGCGTGATTATTTGAATATATCTTGTAAAAATGCGTGGCTGCAGTGCTGATGAGCAACTCTCCTCCCTCCTGCAGGCAGCTTGTGACTCATGACACGTTTGTCGGGGGGAAAGTGAAGTTCAAAGATGCACACTGCTAACTAAACTAAGCGTATTTAGGCATGTTTATGGGAACATAGACAGATTTCTTTGTTTGAAAGCTGGTGAGTCAATGAATAGCTATTTTTGGATACATGTTCTCCGGTAGAGACGTGTGGAGGTGGGACGTATCTTGAATGAGTAAAGGTAAGTTAGCGAAAGCTAAGCTAGTTTGGCTTGTTCTTATGAGTGTGGAGCAACACAAAGTTAAACACAAAAATGACTTTTACAACTTTTTAAACATCATAGAAAGGCAAACGAGAATTCATACTCACGAATTCAACCAAGCATCAATCCGGATATATGAATTTACTATAGGAGCTATACTATAGGAAATGTTTGAATTGGTTGATAAAGTTATAAAATAGCACACTGAATATTGCCGTTTTCACATTCGTATTAGCAATGTCGACTCGTGAACGAATTGCTATTTTTGAGTCATCTTTTTTAGTGAACCGGACTGACTCGGTAAGAGGGGTTCTCGAGTGAACAACTCCGACTCTTTGAACCGAGAACCGTCATGTTCGATTCGTAATGAGCAGAGTGATTTTTTAGCTGAATAGTTGCTTTTATAGCTGAATAGCACAAATAAAATATATTTGCGATTCATTTATGATTACATAAATATGTTTACGATTTGACTGTATAACGGTTATATAAACACGCAAACAAGCTATTTGGTTTTATTAAATGGCATTTTAACACGTGGAAAAATCTCAGTTAAGAAATGTAAATGGATGTTAGTTTAGTGTTAATAAACGTTACATTTAGACGTTTTCATGAGTTGAATCATGACTGCAACAAACTGAACAGGCATATGAATTACAATAAGCTCCCTTATAATCAAACTTAATAAACAGCAATATGTGCCTACATACGGCTTTACTGGAGCATTTTAGAGCAAAAAATATGCCGCGCCGAGATGACAGGGACGTGATTACGTAATAACGCGATGACTCAAAAGAGCCACTTTTGAACCGGTTCTTTGGAACGAACTGTTCGAAAGAAACGACTCACGGAAATGTGTTGGACTTCCCATCACCACATCAAATTTCAAACAAGCTCACCGTTTAAAGTCCTTAATTTCTATGTAATGAACCGAATCGGATGTCGCACATCGGTGAGGTTCGCGTGAACCCCTGCGGGAGAGACGCAAGTGTGTGATGAAGGTCGTTGGCACCACATGATCAGTTTGCACCTTTTCCTTTGTAGTCTGTCATTTACATGTGTTTGAACAGGAACGTTCCTCCATCATCCGGTTCCTTCAGTTTGACGAGGGATTTGGAGATCTCAGCTTGTCCTCGGAATGAGCGACTGAATCCTTTGCCTCCTGTGAACCGCGGCGCGTGTCCTCACTGTAGCCACGTGGCCATTATTAGGTTCACTGGAGTACTCAAAGTGTTGCAAAATACTCCCCGAACAGGGCAAAACTAAAGAATGAGAACAACTGACTTGTAAACTCTACAACTGTTACTGTGGATTTGCTTTAACTAAGAAACAGTCTCTCACATGTTCCATGTTTATCATACAAGCGGTCTTTTCTGTTGGTATAGGTTAAATTCAAAGTTCGGGTGTTATGCAAGTGTGGCAGAATGAACGTGTTTGTACAGTGTACTTGGAGGCATTGGGGCACAGTTACATTCTGCACACTCGCCAAAGTTCCAACATAGCACACACAATCAGGTGAAAGGGGAATAGTGTGTGTGTGTGATGTCCGCCTAGGACAAACAGGGTCGTCGCTATGAATTCTGGGCCCTGTGCACTGAATTTGCCATGGGGCCCCCTCTAAATCATGTTCTAGGGTGTTGCGGGCCCCACAGATCTCTGGACCCTATGTACTCTGTCACCCTTCCAACACCCCCCCCACTAGCAATGCCCCTGAGGACAAAAGGTAGAAATGTAGCTTTTGACCATAATATGAGTGGCAGATATTGTATAGTCATGATGTGAGTCAGTATTTGTGCATTAAACTATGTATAGTTCATACAATGTATGACTAGTATCTGAATCAGGAAGTCCACAAACCCTGTATTGCTCCAATAATCATGAGCAGCAGATGTCATTGTTGGTTGTGTTCCCTACTTGGCAGTCATTCTGCTTCTTGGGTAATTTTTTTATGTGTTAATGCGATAGAACATTTCTCATGAAATGCTTAAAATGGCAAGATCAGCAAATTTAAGAAATGGCATGATGGGTCAGTTTGTCCCTGAGGGGGGTTTATGAACCGTGGGTACCTTTCAGAGTCTGTAGGGCATCATTTGTGGAGGTATAATTAGAGAATTGGTTCTCTCTCCTGGATTAATGACCCTAATCTGGTGTGGGAGGAGGCCATGCCACTGGGATTATGGACAGATTTGTGCAGAATTCTGTCATGTCCATATGTGTGTCCTGCTCTCTAGGAGAACCCTTGTAATATATCTTCATTTATTTGAATTGCTGTATGTGATGCGTGTAGATATTTTCTTTGAATGGTTATGCATAGCAACACTTCAAGGTAATTTATTAATACTGAACCCATGTATTCATACCGGTTAAAATGCTCCGTCTGAATGTATTGCCTGCTTGGAGCTGCTGTTGTGACCGTTTCGAGGATTTTCTTACATTGTCCTCTCTCTTGGGTACCGCTGGGATGTTTGATTAATTGTAGTAAATTGGTTTGTTCGGTGGTTTCCGTGGAGAAAACAAAGGAAACCGTTCACAGACTTCCCAACATAACGCTTGAGAGAGTGAGGACATATAGGTGCTTGTTCGTTGAATGCTGTCTGCTTGCTCAGCATGCACCTGCATGTTAACTGAATGGAAGGAAGAGCAAGGATTACTGAAAAATAAACAGTAGTGTCATCATTACAGGAAAAATTCATTTGTTTCATTTATTGCTTCTTAAAATTTCTCGTTTAAAGGAGGTTTATGCTGCGTTTACACTGTAAGGCCTAATGCACATATTCAATATTTATACACTCATTGGGATTTTTTTTTTTTTTTTGTCCCTCCTGTTTACATTCTCTTAAGACAAACCGATTGTTTTTGCATTATGACCTGCCAAGACGCACTAGGCTGACAACAGCACAGTCTTGGATTTAGTTCGTTTTTTAGTAGTAGTCCTCACAAATTATCTTTTCCATTAAGAGGTGATATTTAAACCTCAACTAATTTCCATTGTTAATTTCTGACCCTGGTTGTTCTGTGATATTAGATGCATGTCTTCAATCTGATGATTAACCTTCAGGATTCACACGTAGTAATTCCCATGCATTCATTTTGATGTACACGTCAGATGTCTGAAAATCAGATACATTATCTCACAAAAGTGAGTACACCCCTCACATTTCAGCAACCATTTTATTATATGTTGTCAAGGGACAATACTGTAGAAATGAAAATTGGATATACTTTAGACTAGTCAATGTGCAGCTTGTATAGCAGTACAGATTTACTGTCCTCTAAAAATAACTCAACATACAGCCATTGTTGTCTAAATAACTGGCAACAAAAGTGAGTGAGGGGTGTACTCACTTTTGTGAGATACTGTATGTGTCCAATTTAAAACAAGATTTTGAAAGTGACCCAAATCAGATGTTGAAACATCCAGTCTCGACCTTCAAGATGATGATGATTATGATGAAATTAAAACTGAAAAGGTCCCTCTTTTTTCCTCATTGTCTCACATTTTTTTCTACAGGTATCATGTCTTCCAGAGAGCGACGCTCTGACTTGTACATAAAAGCTGAACCCAGCAGCCCCGAGGGAGGAGGTGGTGGCGGTGGGAGGACCAGCCCGGGAGGAGCGTCCTCAGACTCCTCTCAGAGTGGAGGAGGGGGATCCAGAGGAGAAAGTGCTGGTCGCTACTCCCCGCCCCCTTACACGCCTGCGTTGCGTTGCCATTTTAAGGAGGAGGCTGCGGATGGAGCCGAGGAGGGCTCTACCGGTAGCGTAGGAGGCCGCTGCAAGTATACACTAAGCACGCTTCCCAAAAGGCTGTGCCTGGTGTGTGGAGATGTGGCGTCTGGCTACCACTACGGAGTGGCTTCCTGTGAAGCCTGTAAGGCTTTCTTCAAAAGAACCATACAGGGTGAGCATGTCATGCTGCGTGACAGATTCACTTCTCGTTACAGATAACTTGTAAGTAAGCCAAGCCCTGTAGTTGTGTGAATCAGTATTTCCTGCCCCCCTGAGAGCCACCACCGCTGCGTCAGCCTCTTGGCAAAACAAGTCATATTTATATAGAATTGAATGATGAGATTTAAAAATTGTGTACTTTGAAATGATACCAAGAAAGCATGTTTTTCTATTGCATTGTTTTCATTAGATGCACACAAATAAACATATAGCATGACAACTATAATCTGATTTGAAAACAAATGTCTCCTTTGAGCTGGTTCCTTTTAATGAGTCACTTAAAAAAACTCACAAGTTAATGTCTTGAATCGTTCTCAAGAATCCTTCACTGAATTGATTCAGCTCTTCACTGCAAAAACACACTTCTGTAGGAAACACTGCTCTGAACTTTTGTATAACATCTTCACCTCCATCCAACAGGTAATATTGAGTACAGTTGTCCCGCCTCTAATGAATGTGAGATCACCAAGCGCCGCAGGAAGGCCTGTCAGGCGTGTCGCTTCACCAAGTGCCTCAAAGTAGGCATGCTCAAAGAAGGTAAGGTGGCACCTGGCCAGCACAACCAGTCCTCTCTCTTATGATACCTAAGTACCTCAGTGTGATCCACAGGCAGTGCCAATATCCTAATCCTCTTTCTGTGTGTGGTGTAGGTGTCCGCCTGGACCGAGTTAGAGGCGGACGGCAGAAGTACAAGAGACGCCCGGAGGTGGAGAATGCTACGTACCAGAATGCACCAATACCTTTAAGGAAAGAGGGGGAGAAGGGTAATAGTAATAATAAAAAAATATTTATAATTTAAAATTGATGTATAATTTAATTTTAATTTTTTTTTTAATGAAATTTTATGGCCTGCAATTACTGCTGCATAAACATGACTTGATTATTCAGCTGAGTAATGTTTAGTTTGTTTCTCTCAGGCTCATCCAGCATCATTGTGTCTCATCTGCTGGTGGCGGAGCCAGAAAAGCTGTTTGCTATGCCAGACCCCCTGCAGCCTGACAAAGCCCAGCGCACACTCACCACTCTCTGCGACCTGGCCGACCGGGAACTAGTTGTCATCATCGGCTGGGCCAAGCACATTCCTGGTAAGTGAGAGGAAGAAGAGGAACAGCAAGACTGTTGGCAAAGAGACCATGTCAAGGAAGCTATTCTGGGGTTGAGCTACCAGTTACTCACTCTCGTTATTTAAGTTAAGCTAAAGTAAAACTACCACATAGTTCTGCCTGTCTCAGCCTTTGACGGCATGATTCACTGTCTGATTCATATTGCACATGAAACTAGAAAGTAATTTCTCGATCTGGTAAGCTCTTATTTGATTGGCTGACTAAGGGCACAAAGGGTTTTATATCAGAAAACAGTCAGCTCCCTAGTTCAGTACTCAGGGCACTGATCAGGGAAGCTGTCTCAATCGCAAAATCCTTCCAGTGCACTGAAACGTTCACTCCCTACAAAGCACCATGAAAACCAGGGAGCATCAATGGTCGCCATGTTCCCTTAACAGAAAACCCAGTTTCCGACACGTGCTATACGTGGTAGACTAATCACAACAGACTGGACCATCTGACCAATCAGAGCAGAGTTGGCTAAGGGAAATGAGCGATTTAGAATCTTAGAACTACTTCGAACGAATCTTTGAGAATTGTTGGAAAATGAGGTGATGTTAAATGCATGTTTTGAGAAGAGAAAAAAGCATTTTTTGACATTGCATTCATGTAAACCTATTGTAGGATACTCCCAAAACAATATTGGGAACCTTAAAAATGGTATAATAGGGGCACTTTAATCTATTCCATGCCACCCCTAAATGGCAGGTAAAAACCAAATGAACATTGTTTTTTTTTGTTTTTTCTTTACGTCTGTCAAGACAGTGGTAATTGTGGCGACGGAATAAGCTAATTGGCCAGAATAATTTGCACTGTGGACCAGATCTAATGAAGGGCTACTTTTTTTCCACTAGAAATAAATAGCGTAATGGTACTAATTGTAGTAGCAAAGGTCCCTTTGTGCATCCTCTTCTTGAAATATCCTCTTTTCCTTTGTGGTACAAGTTATTCATCATGTTTACTCATGCAAGCTGTTGATCTGGGTACTTAAAGGGGTCATAGGATTTTCCATAAGTTGATATGATTCTTTAGGGTCTTAATGAAAAGTCTGTAACATAGTTTGGTTAAAATTTCTCAATGGTAGTGTAAAAAAAAACTTTTTTACCCTGTCAAAAACAGCTCTTTTCAGATCAAGCCGTTTTTGTAGCATTTTCCTCTAAATGTTAATGAGCTATGCTGACCCCGCCCCTCTCTTCTAAGCTGCTCTCAGAGAGACTGTTTACTTCAGCTGCATTCATCATGAAACATGCTAATTAGCACATTATTAGGAAAGGCGATTTGCAAAGATTCATTACAAAACATTATACTTCTGCAGATGAGGCTGGATCATGAATGATTCGCGCGAACATAGACGCATTTATGTAGATCGGGGGCGCATTCCCTTCAGAAACAATGTAATCCACTGCGTCTTCAGCGGCTCAGATGTCGGGAGTAAATGACGACTGCTATGTTCATTATTACATCCAACAACAGAACACCTCAGTCGCTTAGGAGTCATTCTTGTCTACATCTGCTCCGGCGGTGAAACAATAGCGGACTGATGACAGCTCACGCTACTGTCAATCAAACTATCGTGGGAGAGTCACACAGACAGGCATCTGAGATCGGCTCGATTTGAGAAAGGGGAAAACATTTAACCAGATTTAAAAAAAAAAAAAAAAAAACCACTGGGTGGATTTTTATCATATTTTATCATATCATTATAGGGTGGTTGTGTACACACACTGCCAAGACACATTTCAGTTCAAACAACTTGTAAATGTGCATGTAGCATCCTAAGACCCCTTTAAAGTGCCACTTTTTACTGGGAAGTGTTTCTTACTAGCCAAATTTCACTAATACACAGTACTTGTAGGCTATGAAAAAGCCAGCTAGATGGTTTTTACATTTCTGCACTGCCTGAAAGTGCTGATCAATCACACCTGTCTGTAGAGAACAGGTGCCTGAAGAAAGATTTTAATTGAAGGGAACTGGAGCAGGTGAATCAGAGCTACAGTCAGAACGTGGAAGACTTTTCTCCTAATTGCTGTCCGAGTTCAGTCTTGGAAGGAGCGATTTCAACTGCTTTTGTCAGTCTCTGGCTATTTTCAAGACATCTAAATTTAGAGCACTATTGTGAGTGTCCACCGTGCCTCGGTATTCAACAACTCTTATCCTGCTCTCTGCACTCCACATAACACTAGATCTGATGAGCGGGCCTTTTCAGTCTCTGTAGGAGGTGAGGATTGTGGGATTAACAGTGCTGACAGAGTCAAACAGTTGAGAAATTTTCAACTTTATGCAAATTAGCGGCGAAAACTAGTCAGTCTCTATGAGGTGAAGGTGGTGACATCTGTCATAAGCATTTCAAAATCTACCGACAGTGCTGGAGATTCACATTGTTACGTATTACTATATTGAATTAAATTCATATTTCAAATGCAGTTTCTCAGAATCTCAACACCAATTTCAGTACCAAGACAAAAAATATATTAATATACAAATACAGTATTAATTAAAAAAACTATAGCAGTATTAATATCATGCAGCCTATCAAAATTAACTGTTAAGTGGTTTTCTAATATTTTGACACCCATCTGATTTTTTTGACCAACCTTTTGCATTCATTTAAGATGAGGCATCTGTGTTTGTGCATTTTGAGCTTGTATTCTTCTTCACCAGTGGACATGCAGCGTTAACCTGTCCTTTTTTTTCTCACTCATCCAGGCTTTCTCTCGCTGTCACTGGCTGACCAGATGTCCGTGCTGCAGTCGGTGTGGCTGGAGGTGTTGGTGTTGGGGGTGGCGTACCGTTCTCTCGGCTGTGAGGACGAGGTGGTGTTTGCTGAGGACTTTGTGCTGGATGAGGAGATGTCTCGTGTGGCCGGTCTGACTGAACTCAACGCCGCCATCAGCCAGCTCGCTCGCCGTTTCAGGGTTCTGCAGCTGGACCGCGAGGAGTTTGTCATGCTCAAGGCCATCGCACTCACCAACTCAGGTGCACTTCCTGTCAAGATTTTCCTATTAATGACTCATTAATTCCACAGTCTATATTTTTGTTCTCTTACCAACCGGTTACCTTCTGATCAAAACCAGCATGACCTGACTGAGTCACCCAGTAATTAAGACCAGAACGTATTCTGTTTTGTGTTGTAAACGTAAATTTCTCTCGTCACCGTCTGCTTTGTATAAATTCATCCCCCACCCGGAAGAACCCATTAAACTTTTGATTACTGTAAATAATAAATTCAACCCCTGTGTCTGCTTCACCCACAGAATCTGTATTTGTTATGCAAATACTGAGAGTTGCATGCTTTGAATATTGAACACACCTAAAAGACCTCTTCCTTACACCTCACATATTTGTGTGTACATGATAAACATTGACCCCCACCAACAGAACTATTCATGGGCCAGTGACCTTTGGCACACGTGGCAAGGGTTAATTAGCAAGAGAGATTCATATTATATGTTTTGGATTTCTTTAATTGTTGTTACACAATTGCATTTGTAATTTCTAGCATTAATCCTCATAAAGCTGTGGCCACATTGGAGCATGCAAAACAAACAGGATGTCACGCTCTAGGAATCCTTTTTAATAAATAACAAATCACAAATAATAATACATTAAAATGTGAAAATTTACACTAGCATTAGTATATAACATAGTAAAAATAGTACTGTTTTCAACATTGATAATTATAAATATTTCTTGAGCACTAAATCCGCATGTTAGAATGATTTATGAAGGATCATGTGAAACTGAATATTGCAGTAATGGCTGCTGAAAATTCAGCTTCTCATCACAGGAATCAGTAGCATTTTAAAATGCATTACAAAACAGTTACACTGCAAACCTGCAGCTGTGTTCTTTGAATTCAGCCATGAGGTAGATCTGTGATGTTTAGGTCCTCTGTTGGTCAAATGTCTTCGCTCTCTGCCAGTTCATGTCACCAAATGTGATTTTTTGGGGGGGTTTACATCCACATACTTTTATGCAGATTTTGATATAATGCATAAAATGCTGGGTGGAAACACAAATATATAAAAAATATCCTAAATGCACATAAAAAATGTATGCGCTCACTTGAGGTGGATAAATGTTTTATTTGAGTTTGAATGTCTGCGCATAAAAACATTTACTGTATAAATTCATCAAAAAGTCATATGACTAAATGCTAATTGTTTTTCTGATCTTTCACATAAATTAACAACTTTGCAAGAGTGACACATTGGTTTTATTTAGAAATGAGGGTCTAATCACTAGTCGTCGTCATCTTCCTCTCTTTCAGATTCGGTGTACATTGAGGACATGGAGGCTGTGCAGAAGTTACGGGACCTGTTGCATCAGGCTCTGCTGGAGCTGGAGGTGCAGCGACGCCCTGACGACCCCCAGCGTGCGGGGCGACTCCTCCTCACCCTGCCCCTCCTCAGGCAGACCGCTGGCCGGGCCCTCACCACCTTCTACAGCATCAAGACCCGTGGTGGCGTGCCTATGCACAAACTCTTCCTGGAGATGCTGGAGGCCATGATGGACTCACCCTAGAGTAGAGATGACAGGGATGGATGAAGGGTGAAGAAAACGGGCAAAACGTTTGCCCGGAGTCTTTTTGTATGTGCAAGGGCTACAAAAGCCAATAGAAAACACTTTTTGGGGTTGACTATGAAGAAGTCGCTTTGTGTAGCTGTCCGCCGGTACTGGTCTTTCACATCCAATCCTCCTCCTTCATTTGATTTCAATGGGTACCACGTCAACACAGGCTTGGGTCAGTTCAGACACACTTAATATTTATATCAGTGTTAGAGAAACCACAGACAACGTGTAATTCATTGTCACTTCACGGCCATCCTGATAAGTGTTTCTAGGAACTTACCATTATTATAAACTCAGAGAAATTTACGTGCCAAGGGCGCCTACTGAGACTGCAGCAATATGAACTCTTCCCTGAATCGCACGATTCAGCGTTATCTCCTTCTTTAACAATGGTAGGCCGTCGAAACAAACCGTCACTATCACTACAGTTATAATCAAGTAAGCTTTCTTTTTCTCCTTAGAACGGTGCATAAAAGGCACTCGTGTAAAGTTAATAATGTCTTTTATAATGCACTCGCCATACTACAAGTGCTATCTAACTTTGTCCTGTTAGCTTTTTGTGGAATATGCAACACATAGGTGAAGACTTACTGGAGGAAATACAATACAAACTTCAGTTTTCTGGTACACACTGGTACTGCAAATATACTGCAACATCATATTATGGAAAGCAATATGAATGATTTCATAACTCATTTGATGTCAGCCGTTTTTAAAAATGAGAGGCTGCCATGCCACGTCCTGCTTCAAAACAAAATTTAGTATTGGTGTAGTCGCATAGTAAAGTAAGCAAAGTCAGTTTTTTTTTATTGTAGAACATTTTCATAAACCACGCCGTCCTTTGTATAATATCCAATTGTTTAAAAAGAATAATGTCGTCGTTTTGGGATATGGATTATGTAAATGGGAGATTATGGGTACTAAATGCTGAACTGAACCAACAGTGCGTCTAAATCAGGGTAACCGTAATGGCCACTAATGTTGTTGATTGTTGCTGTAATTTTTCCAGAAGGTGTGGGACTGAGGAGATATCGTCCTCAGTTCTTCAGATGGCACTGGCCTGCTTATGAACAATTCGGAGTAATTAGTTTGGAAATACTTTTTTCAGTCATTCATCCATTTGTACACGGACGCAGCCGGACATCCTCCATCCGAGGTTTGTTCTGTGATATTCAAACTAAAAGCCTCTGTGGTGCAGAGCAACATTAAATGCAAATTGGAAAGCCTCACGAGATGGGCTCATCCCGAGTCATCGCTTCGAGACTCTTCGTTCGGCTGTTTTAGGATGTGTTTGCGTTGTCTCCTCATAGTTGTTTGTTTGCAGACGCTCGTCTGGTATTATATGCAATCATACCCCATTCAGAGTACTGCAACTCCTCTACCTTTTATTTATTCTACACATGTGAAAACCGGAGGAAGGAAAGCCAGTTGCCGTTTTGGCCTCTTTACCAATTTAAGTACTAAAAATGAAAACCACTGTTGTACGGAGTCAGACCTCGGAGGTGACGCCACATCTTCAGGGTGATTTTTCACTGTATACTGTTCGCAGCAATGATTGTATGAGCGCTTTGAAAGTGGTTCGCTGCAGATACATGCCATAGACGCATAGGTAAAGAATCTTCCAAGGTTGATATTTATGATAGTTTCAGCTCAACAATCGGTTTAATCTGGGTCTGCAGATTTCTAGTCCAAAATACTGAGGGGGACGTGTTGTGATTCAGGCCTTTTGGGTGATCATATGAGTTTCTGTTGCTCTTTTTGTGCTTATGGCATGGCTTTAGGTTTTGGTTTTCCATATAGACTATGAAGCTTGGCCTCAGGTTTGGTATTGAAATAAAGCAATTCATTTGGGAGAATGTTATAAAATGTCTGTTTTGTATTGAATGTTTTTTTTTTTTAGATTTATCTTTTTGCAATTAAAGTACTAACTTTAAGACATATGAAAGCCAGTGGATGTTATATTCCGTGTGTTCATTTTTGTTTAATATATGGTATTGCAGTTTTCAAGCACTAATACGTGTTAATCACTGCAAAACTTTCTCTGCTTTTTTTTTCTTTTTTTTTCCTTAAAATACCGCCAGTTTGGCTGTTAAGGGAATTTTGGGATATTTCGATAAACTCGGGTTTAATATATTTTTATTCAATCTATATGCATTTATCAAAACTGAAGTATGTTTTTTTTTTTCTTTCTAACATATCAGTTTTTTTCTTTTGCGCAGAGGAAGTTAATGTCTCTCCTAAGTGGTTATTGGGATGTCGTGGACTGTGTACATAACCATGAATGAATGGGTCCATTCAAAGACAGCTGTAAAATATGTCAATGTTTGTGTCAATAATAACTCTAATATAACGATGATATTACAGTAGTGTTTTCATAATGGTAAGCATTATATAAAGCCATTTTGTCAGTCAGACTTAGAACATAACACGATTGAGAGAGAAATTAAATTCATGACTAGGTGTTTTTGTGTGTCTGTGTATATTTATGTAAATGAGCAATACCAGAATTTACCAAAATGTTTGTTTTGACATTTTTCTGTATACTGATATACTGTAAATCAAACCTCAACAGTAACACTAGTGATATCAGTCAATAGTAATAATAAGAACTAAAGTAAAAAACAAATCAATATTTGTATTCCAAAATGTTGTATTTAAAAGATTAAAATCTATTTTTTACTCAATTTGCGGATGTTTATTAATATTATTGTTCTGGTACTTGTGGGAGTTGAAGTCAACTGATTGTAAATGTCTGTGCTTGTTTGTTTCCTTTTTGTAAAGCTCAGTGGTTCTGCAGTAGTAACCGTTTCAACACTTTGTTCATATTGAATCACTGTGAAGAGAAAGCAAACACTAAAACACCACAGGAAAAATAGAGGTATTTTAAAATATTGTCAGTGTCAATGTGTTTTGTAATAAATTAGCGCGTCATCACTTGTCATTGGATTTCTATGTCGTTTTGTCATGATCATGTCTGTTTTTTCATGTGGGTGAAAACAAATAGTCCATATTTAGGCTTATTTAACATGAATACTAGTGAATGAACATTATTCATATAAAGTCTCTGGTCCATTCCATAGTTTTCATGTTGTAGGGCAGGCAAAGCTGGATATAGTGCTGGTCTTTCATCTATAGCTCTAGTTTACAGTTGGTTACCTTTACAGGTATATTTCTCAATTTTGCGATTTTATAGTCTCACTATAAAATACTAGTACTACTACACAGATAAAACAATATCACTTATCTATAAGTAAGTCAGACGTAAAAGTAGTGCAAACTCTCAGAACTACTCGCTATTCGCTGTGAGGGAGAAACAATCACTCGTGCCACCTGCATTATATACTGTATATGTGCGTGCTGCTGCCCCCGTGTGGTTATGTGCTGTATGACACCACACGATTGAACGCGACCAACGGGGATTCAGCGCCATCGTGAGGGCTAAGGGTTCACACTTCACAAGTCTCTAAAGTTTTAGGCCTATTTTTTGTTGGGCTGCCGGGAGCCTTTTATGTGAAGTTTATAAAAAAAAACTGTTATTAAACAACATTTAACACTAAAATATTTATCCTTTACTGCATATGAAGCTGTAGATAAAATTGATGCTGGGACAAGAAGTAATCTTTTTTTAATGCTTTTTAACATATTGTGTCACAAACAGTAATATATTGTATAAGGTGATTATAATGATTTTTTTTTCTGGTGTTCCTCAGATATTTGAAATTAAAGACAGATGGTTTCAGCTGAAAAAAGTCATTTGAAAAAGTCTTTCAGGATGGCAAAAACGCTGTGGGGAGACATTACTATATTCCTATGACAAATGATATATTCTGAAACTGTGCCAAGCCATTATTCCCATGATTATACAAGTCATTATGCCATTATTTGGCTACAGTAATTATTTTGTATTACAAGTTGCCCCATGTTCAGCATATTTCCCTAACTGAGTGTTCTGTATGACATCAAAATAATTTTAGGAATAAACCTGTATTATTTCCAGCATGATTAATTGGAATTCATATTGTGTTAAAGGTGTGAAAGAGGTAGTCCATTAATGTCTCTGATTTAGACAGATACCTCATTTCATTTGTAAATTTCCCCCATAAATATTACTGGTGTCCACTGCTAACAATTTCAAAGTCTGGGCTCTCTGACTGTATATTGGTCTAAGCCCTCTTATTAAAAATGACATTTAAAAATTATAATTGGCTCCCTTGACCTGTGGGCAGATAGAATCTGTCCCCCATTTATCCTACTTGCTCCGGCCCTGCAGACATATTTTATGAAAACTTCTAGCTATCAATATTTTTCAGTATTCAATTTGTAGGTGAGATAATGTATTATTAAAAAAAAGAAGTCATGCCTCAACCCTGTTGCCATCATATTTTCCCTTTTATTATTGCAAAACTCCAAACACAAAGAAAAAAACCCCAGTTGTTGCAATTACATCTTCCTCCTTCCAGAAACGAAGCTCTTAAAGGACAAATGAAAGGTTCTCTCTTTTTTATCAAGTTGTCTTAAGTTTTATGCTGTTATGTTTGTCAGCAGCAGTGGATGATCAACTCTGTTACCATGTTTTTATATATATATATATATATAGTCAATAACATAATTTAAAGTAATATATTCATATATTCACATCAGCATTATAAATATCAGCATTAACTCTCTTTGTGAAAAGCATATAGTAGTTTCATTTGACCTAGAGATCAAATAGAATCTCAGCATATTTTAAATGTGCGTAATTTATATTACTATGCTCACAGCAGCA